ATCTGGGTTCTGCCCCGGCCTGTGTGGGGCAGAGCGCGAGTTGTTCGTAGTGCTCCTCCGAAGCAGCTCAGCTAGGAAAGCTGCAGTTTGCGGGGTGCCTTTACCGCTCACGGCTTTGCTGTTGAAGTTCCTTAGGTTGGTAGAACATGGCGAGCAGCAATGGCTGGTTTCAGGGTGCTGGGATGCCCTCCTTTGACCCTGCAGCAAAGAGGATTTTGCCACGTGAGGCTGATTTCAGGCAGCCCGTTCGGAAGAAACTCTGGGAGCCCGTGACTCCAGGGCTGAATCCTCCACCTTCTCAGTGGCGCAGGCAACCAGGGGTGATGCAAAATCCAGGTATAGCTTTCAGTTACAAGCTGGGATTAGCTGCAAATGGTGTTGCAACCCTGTGCTCCTTTTTCTTATCACTGTGGGGTTTTTTAATGACTTTCTTAGCATCTTCTCCTACTTGTTCCTCTTCTTGCTATGTTTTAGCGCGCTGGAAGTTGGCTAGTGATTTGTTGTAGGCTTTTGTAGTTTGCCTATAGCCTGCAGCATTTCATAATTATGAAGTTCAAGTTAGACATTGAAAGTACTGTAGAGGTATAGGCTGTGTTTTGGCAATGTTCTGTTGCATGAGTTTTAGTAGATATCCTTGAGAAAACTGCAGTTCCAGATGTCCCAGCATGTATTTTGAATTCCATCACTTCGAATAGCTGCATTTGAGATAAGGCACCTATTTATGAGACTCGTAAACAAGGATTTATTTTAGTTCTTCTTGGCTGGGAGGTACTTGTGCCTGAGTATATCACAGCCCTGAAGCTGGTGATTCTATCCATCTAGTGGCTGGTGAAACTTTTACAGTGTCTTACAGCAGGGAGTTCTGCATAGTTTAGTGTGAAAAACCATAGGCTCTGCTGTTTTGAATCTGCCATCAGCAACTTCAGTTGGATCACTGGTTTACAAGAGTGGGGAGAGGGATATAGGTTGTGTTTATTAGTAATACCTGCCTGTATTCAGAGGTTGTTGGATTTACTACTCGGAGGAAAAGCTTTGATGCTTTTAAAAGAAGATATGCATACTGTTTCAGAATTGCTGGTGGTGTTAATGTAGGATTCCACACAAAGCAATAGTGCTCTACAGTATATCTTGTTGCTTTTTGTTCTTCTAAGAAGCGTCTGAAAAGCATTTATTGTAACCAGATTTAAGCTGTCAGTGAGTGTGTTCAGTTCTCAGTTTTGTTTAATAACCTTTTCTTTTTAAAGGGGCACACGCTTCACCATTGTCAGCACTTCCCTCACAGAATCAGCTAAAGGAGTTGATTGCAAAATATAAAGAGGGAGCAATAAACTCAGTATCTGCCTTGCATCAGTTTGCCCAAATGCATAACATGCAACTTGAATTGAAAGAAACTAGTGTGGCAGGTAAATGTTTCTTTTCCTAAATAAAGTATTACCTGCTTATCCTTGAGATTATCTGAATTTCTGCAGTTGGTATTGGTGGCACTAGTACAGATGATTTTTTTTTTTAATTGTTGATTGCACTACCCTTCACATAAGTTGCTTTCTGGCTGCCCTTTTATTGTCTGCACAGCTGTATCTCATGATAAAGTGCCACAGAATTAGATCAGATGAATTATATAGAATTCTGGCTGCTACCAGAACTCTGTGAAACGTGCATGACGTGAAAGCCGACGAAATTCTCGTGGAGGTGAAAAATATGAATTGTGTTTCGCCAGAATTGGCTTTTTTTCTCTTGTATTTTTTCTAGGCATTAATACAAGGGCATAAAGCTATGGATAAATTATCTTAAAATAAATTCAGTAATTGTGGCTGCTTTTTTTCCTCCTTTAAAGGTGATATCATAAGGCCTTATTTTGCCTTTTGTGCTGTGATAAATGGTGTTTCCTACAAGACCGGGCTGGGAAAAAACAAGAAGGAATCTAAATTAAATGCAGCTAAACTGGCTCTTGCTGAGCTACTTAGCTTGGAGAATACAGGGGCAAACTCATCTGAAGATTCAGGTAAATATTCCAGTAACACCTAATTAGGATTTAAAAAGCTGGCCCTAAAGGTTTCCTATGTAAAACCTCTGTGGGTTTATTAAATGCTTGTGCATCAGGGCCTTTGTCAGGTTTTTTGAATCCTTTGGGCAGATGTCTTTTGATTCTGAAACTGGTTTTTTCCTTTGTCATTTGTGTATTATCAGTTGGTAGTACAGAACCAAGAATACTGAGGGAATTACTTGTTGTTGTTTCGCTTGATTTGCTACTCAGTAGGTACAGCAACATGAAGTACATCTCAAGTGGTGTTGAATTTTTATGATTATAAGGGTTCCCCACTGATGTACTGCTTTAAATAGAATTCAGTTACTGTACTGTTTATCTTCTTTCAAGGTTTGTTGTCTAAAAAGTCGTAACTTTACAAGGACTTCAGATAGAAAAGGAATTTCTTAGGGAACTAGAAACTTTGACTTGCTGGAATTAAGTGTGAGATTCATGTTTAGAAATTAGCAAAATTCAAAATTCTGTTAAATTCTTAGATTTTCCTTGTGTTCCTGCCGAGCTCCAAACTCCAGCAAACTCTGCTTGTGTTTCAAGGACCTGTGTTGGTAAGGAATGATCTTGTTGTTCTCTGTTGATTCAAATTATCCAGCAGATCCCTTTTTTAGTTCCTCTTTTAATACATTTATTGATCTCTATATGGTACTGTTATTTTAAACATCTTCTCTTCGAAGAAGGCTGTAAGAATTAGTGTCACTAGGTCGGTTCCATAAATGGGAACTTCATTAAATTGCTTGAATTTAGGTAGTGAACTGATGACAGAAATAAACAGTATAATTAAAAAGTATTTCTGTCCTTGAACTAGTGTGCAATAGGTGATCAAAATTGATCAATATACTGCCTTATTATAATGAATGCTAAAAGCATAAAGTGCTTAGGTATTCTTGAACTTATTTTTTAATTCCAATAATCTTCAGAATCCCAAAAGTATGTGTTGATAGTAGTGCTTACACCATGTGTTCAGGTTTAAAGTTTGTCAAGTGACTGCTCATGTCTGGTTTTTCCCCTCCCACTTGCAAATTTGTCCCACTGGTTTCTGCTGTTTTATTTAGGAGGATGGTCTATATATCCAAAACTTTCCCAAGCACTGGAAGAAGTATTTACCAGGCTGACTGCCCAACATCCCGAGTACCAAAGCTGTGGGAGCTCACTGGCTGCCTTCATCATCGAAAAAGGCAAGTCTGTTTTGACTGTGAGCGTTGGGGAGCGGGAAACCTGGGCTGTTCCCAGAGAGCAGCTTGGTGGGCACGTGGCAGCCTGAGCAGACGAACCTCCCCCAATGTCTCTTTTTAGGTGGGCAGCAGGAAGTTGTGGCTCTGGGAACGGGGGAATGCAATTACAGCCGGCGCCTGGAGCCCTGTGGCAGAGTGTTGCACGACAGCCACGCCATCGTCACCGCCAGGCGTTCCCTGCTTAGGTGAGGAGGTGCCTGCAGATAGTGGCCTTGCAGCCAGTCCTTCTCAGTTTTACTTTGGCACTTGCATTTTGTAGCTGGTATCTTTTAGGTTGTTTTCAAATCGTGTGAATTAAACGTGTCTGTGTGTTAGTAAGCCGAGTAGTTTTTTTCACATTTACTGTTATTAAAACGCTTTCTTTCATAGATATTTGTATAGGCATCTCTTGCTGTTCTATAATAAAAATCCAGCAAAGTCGGAGAGATCCATATTTTGTACAGCACCAGGCTCGAAACTGCTCACCCTAAAGCAAAATACAACTCTCTCTCTCTACATGAACCAACTTCCAAAAGGAACTGCTCAGTTAAAGTCAGATGTGTAAGTACACGGGTTTTTGGAGATGTTGTAGTGGAAGATTCAGGAAGAGCTTTTGTTTATTACAGATAACTGTGTGCCCCCTTCTCATACAGTTAAAATACTAATAAATCATGAACTTAACCACTGATCAAGTGGATGTGATGACTTAATGTCATCCTTTGCACCACAGGATTAGAGTACAAAAAGGCTTGAGTTGAAGCCAAAGTCTACTGCTGTGCTTTGTAGGTAAAAGGTAATGAGAGAACCCTGATGGGACAAATACAATCCTATGCTTATCTTTACACTTCCAACTTTTGTTAAATTTCTGAAAGTTTGGGATTTTTTGGAATGGTTTTGATATTTAACAGCAGCAATCATTGGTTTACCAAGTTATGGACAGCATTATTTTGTGTCTCCTTTTATGGGTAGGGTAATGTCATACTATTGTAACTTTTTCATACATACATCCAGGTAGTTGCTTTCATGCTGAATTTGGGGGGTTGGGAAGGCAGACTTTTGACCTGGAAGTCACAGCCAGTTCGTTGCAGGAGCTCCTTCTGTTAGAACTGCAGGAGGTTTTAGGTGACTTTCAGTGTTGTAGCTCCTGCCCAGACTTGGTTGATGAGACTGGATGCATTTGTAAACTACCCTGAAATACTTGATGGGTCACAGGTTCACCACTTTCTCTTTTTGCCCCCTTCTGGCTTGTCCTGTCTTGAGACAAACTCAGAGAAGTATTTTCTTCTAATACAGTGGATTGGCTTATGTATAGAGTTATTTAAAGATATTTTTAGGAGGGAGCTACTTGCAAGTAATGCGTTGAGTAGCAAAGTGTGGCCACTTACTAACAGGTGGTATGTTACTTAAGCCAAAAATAAGCACTTGTTCTCTAATAATGTATTAGATATCACTTTACAATAATCTCTAATCAGAGTGCCTTCTCACTGAAAGCCATTCTCATCTTACTGTAGACATCTGGGTCCACAATCTCTATCTGCTTACGAAGCCAGTGAAGAATTGAGTCTCCATGTTGCTCTGGAAGGCAGGATTTACCTGGCTGTTTGTTGTCCCCCTAAAACTGTCAGAGTGAGCAGCATGTCAGGCAGTGACAAACTGACAAAGTGGGAGGTGGTTGGTCTTCAGGGGGCCTTGCTGAGTCACTTCATTGAACCAGTGTACATCAACAATATTCTTGTGGGTAAGTTTAATGCAAGTTTCAGTGGGGTCTTTGTATGGTTTTGTGTTCTGGTTTGATTAACATTTTATAAACCATTAACTAAACCAGATGATTCTCTAAAGAATTACAGTATTTTTCTGAAAAGGTACTAAGGGCGTATGTATTTCGAAATGCCCTAATGTAAAACTCAGACACTGTGGGTTTCTTGTAGCTTGCCAGATTGCCAGCCCTTCCTTTTCTATGTATTTGAGTTACAGAAGAAATTCAGCTTTTTCTAACGAGTTACATTTTTTATATGGAGAAAATATCGAATGTGACAAATGCTGTGTCTACTCTTCAGTCAAATGGTGACTTTAAGGTGACAGTGTTAGTCATTTCATTACTTGGGAGCAATAGAAAAACTTCTCAAATGCTTACTTAAGTAGTATTCAAAGTTAACATAATAATCTGTAATTACTATTGCCCTTACAATAGAAATGTTGACCCTTCCTTGACGTGCAGCGGACCAAAGTATATTTATTTAGTAGGTATTTAGCAGTGCTGTTGGATGTGGTGTGATGTGGGCAAGCTCCCTGGCATATCTTCAGATCTGGAATATCCAAGTTCTGTTTTAGAGGTGTCTTCTGCAGGGAACAGAAAAAGAGTTGATGAAAAATAATTGTTCGAAAAAGAAGGCATCCAATGGAAATAATGATGCCTCTGGAGAAGGAAGTGTGAAATCATTTTCGTTCTGTAAAATTGAATGTTGGAACTCATCTGCTGATCTTTCCACACTTTGATTTTATGTCAAAAAATAACTGTAGTGTAGTTTCTAAGAATGCAGAAACCATCTGCATTCTTAGATTTTTGGGGTTTTTTTCAATTTGATGTACTCACGTGTGACTGATATTGTTCTGTTTAATAGGAAATGGAAATTGTAAGGATACAAAAGGACTAGAAATAAGTATAAAGAAGCGTCTTGATGATGAACTTGTATCAAAGCTTCCCATGCCTTACCTGGTCAACAGATCTCATATTTACTTGGTGAAAGCTGCACAGCCGGTTCAAACAGATTTAAAACAGTGGTCTCTTAGTCTGAACTGGACATGGACAGATGCATCCGTGGAGGTTGTGGATGGGATAAGTGGAAAAACCACTGAAAGGTTAGGATTTCTCTTCGTGTCATTGGAAATCATGGTTAGCCTGATTGTTCTGTGCTGGTTCATTGGAGTATTCAGTTTTTAAGCTATGCATGGAGGCCACAGCATGAGAGACGTTCTCTCCTGTGTTGGCTGAATGCATCCTATGATTTAGATGCAGTTTCAGAGCTCTTGTAACTCCACAGGGGGATACTAAGATGTGAAACAAAACAGTTCTTTGAATGAAGATATTTCCAGTCTGTTATCTCTTGTAGCGCATGTTTTAGTTTTCACGGTACATGAATTAGCATCCTAGCTGAGACAAATTCCAGTTCGTTACTGTTCACAAAGTGTTAAGAGGGATTAAAACCCCCTGTGACGATCAGAGCAATCTCCCTGTAACGGTTTTGTTGCTGAGTTTGACTGTTCTCTCTCCCCGTGGCCGCAGCTCCCCGTTCCGGAGCGGCACCTGCATGGCCAGCCGCCTTTGCAAGGCAGCCATGTTCAGCCGCTTCAGGCTGCTCTGCAAGGAAGCAGGACGGACTGATTTGCTTCAGGTGGCAACATACCACGAGGCCAAGGTGAGCTGCTGCGGGGAGGGGAGGTGGGCTGAGTCGTCTCTTAGTGTCTGCTCTCAAAGCTGCTGTGATGACCAGGGCTGACTCTCTGTTTTGCTGTCAGCTTCACCTGAACAGCTTGTAAACAATCTGTATCTTTTTTTTTCCTCCTGTCAAAACATGCAAGAGACCATTTTTTTTAATGATTCAAAAACTACTTCAAAAAGAGATCGCTTGCTAATTGAGTCTTGATCTGGTTAGATTTGTATTGAATGATAGTGAATGTTTATTTTCTGTATAAAGATAATACTGGAACGGAAAAGACACTGAAAAAAAGTTTATCAGAACAATTTTCTCATCCCAGTAAATGCCCAAAAATATAAAAGGGATATGTTTTTAGGGTCTAAAACTTCCTCTCATTGTCAGCATTTGAGGGAATTGTAAGATCTGTAGTTACTGTTTTCTGCAGTGTTTGTGCTTGTGCATATTATGTGCTGCTGGTAAAGAACACAGGTTTCTGTAACCATCATCTCTAACCGTCATTCTTGAGATTTTTCAGGGTCTTCCTTTTTCTTGTTTTAGGTTCAGTCTCAATTGTACCAAGAAGCTAAAAGCTTGCTGCAGAGCTACTTAGAGCAGCACAGCTATGGATCCTGGATTGTGAAGTCTCCACATATTGAACAGTTCAGTAACTGACTGTGAGGTGGATTGTGTGTGAAGTCAGTTTGGATGATCTATTTCAGTGAAGTAATGCTCTGATTAGTAAAATGTTTAATTGTAAGTTTGTATTTAGAGGAAGAAAACAATTCCAGAATTGCTTCTCTTCAGTTCAAATGCAGTTGCTAAACCACCTGTAACAGTTCAGTCTTTTCCAAAAGTTGATGTTTTCTCATAGGTTAGGAGTATCCAGTGGCTTCGTAAATCTGTTTTGCTTTGCTCCCCAATGGCAACTCATTTCAACCCCCTCATCCCCACCCAGTGTCACACACTTTCACCTTATGGAGTTACATGGTTTTTTCTTGATGGTTCCATGATTTCTCTATCCCGATTTCTTCGTTTTCCCTACCTTTTTCATATATTTCTTTTAAGAAAGAAAAAAGATCAGTAAAAGCTGGATTTCTTAAAAAAAAAAAAGGCATACCAATGAGAGAATCTCTCTCAGAAACGAAAATGAGCAAGCTGTGCCTTATCTGTAGGCATCCATCCTTTACTAGTTCTTTTAAGAGTTTTTTGTTTAGTGTGGATTTGCCAAGTGGCTCATAGTTTGCCATGTATTGTTTGTGGTGGAAGGGTTAAAAAGTAATTGTGTACTTCCAGTGAACTTCAAATTACCAGCTGTTAATCAACTGTTAAGCGACAATCACTGGTTTTGGTAGTGGATTTAAAGTGTTCTCCAGGTGTCAAAGCTGTAAATAAGAAAATAATGTGATGTGGTACAGAAGTCACCAGAAACAAGGCTCCTTCAGCCTTTGTGGGCTGCCCCAGAACCCATCAACGTTAGTGCTTGTGGACGAGCTGGACTCCTCCACTCTCAGATGACTTCATCACTGTGCTGATGAGTCCTCACAAAATTGTCTGCATACATAATGATCTGAAAAATGGTGCCTGTCAAGGGGGAAGTCGCTTCCTTGTGAATTCTGGTAAGAATATGGTAGCGTTGGGATAAAGTTGAAAAGGATGTTAGATGCCATACTTGGGTTTGGTGTGGTCTTGTGGAATACTAGTGTGTTTAAGCTAGATAATACACTTTTATTATGTTACTTGACTTTTGTGCGTCATCCAGGTGTGGAAAGCTGTTATGTAGTGTTCTTTTACATCAGTACTAGTGCTGTTGTCATGTTTCAGCTTCTTGTTTTCAAAGGATTCTAAACAAACTCCCCTTTCTAGTATTTTTTTCTCCTTAATCTGTTTTTGTAACTAGTATGTGGAGTCACTTCTGGGAGTGATCTTATGCTGACTTTCAAATTGTTGAAACTCACTGACTTGTTTTACTACTTGGTTAACTTGGGAGATTGTGTGATGCTGTTTTGGTTTTTTTCTGTGGCACTTGGCTCCACATGCTATTTGCTCCATGTAATGTTTTCTTTCTAAGAATGCCGGAGAATGACCATCACATTCAGGCTAGAGTGGAGTGTTGCCTTTTTCCAGGGGTGTTAAAAGCTCAATAAATTTCCTTGACAATGTTTTAACTATATCTGCATACATATACGTGTCAAATCTGACATACATGTAACATACCACATGTGTGTTAGTGTTCTATGCACTTCTGGACTGACTCACACGTGTTAAGTGACACACTTTGTCATGGCTTAGGAACGCTGCTTCCCCAATTCAGTGCCCCCACCGAGAGTCCAAACCACACCCTGCTCTCTCTCTCTCCCATTTTCCCCTTCCTGCTGCTGGGGAGATGGAGAGGAGAACTGGAAGCACAAAAGGTCATGGTTTGAGGTAGGAGCTATTTGTTGGAGACAGCAATGAGGTAAGAAAAGGAACAGAAACAGCACCAATGCTGATGACAACGGGTACAAGAAAAGAAATTATTCACACAGAGGAAAAATCACACTAATAGGTAACACTGGACAGCTCCCTCTGCCATGTTTTCTTGACTGGAGGGAACCCCTTCTCCCTGGAAGAGAGTCACCTTTTCCCCTGCCCTGGGAATGTGAAGTGGTATAAAATAACCACACTCTGTGTCCTAGCTGTGTCCCCTCTTGGCTACTGCGAAAGTTAACCCTGTCCTGGCCACAGTCAGGGCACACGTCAGGTCTGACATACACGTAGCATAGCTCTACCATGCCATACTTGCCAAATCTGACGTCTTTGGCAAATCTGGCATGTCACATAGGTCGCAGGGATCTTGTCACATCTCATGTCATGTCATGTCACATACGTGTCACATGTGTAATGTCATGCCACATCTCAGGCTTCATGCTGTCGCATGTCAGATGCATGTCATATAAATGTCACGTAGATGTCATGTCCTAGGTATGTCACGTGCCACATACGTGACACCTTTCATGTCACACGCATGTCATACATTTTTGTGTGATAGTGGAGTTGTGCAATCAAGCAGGAGGAAAAAAGCTCAGGAAATCAATTGTAGTTAGTATTTTAAGGGGTTCTGCTGAGGTTTTTTTACAACTTCCAGGGAAAAGGCATGTATGCTAAAGTTCACCTTGTTAGGCATTTTCAGATGCTTTTAGTATAATATCCTTTTTCTCTAAAGACATCTTTTACAGTTTAGGCCATACACGAGCTGATCACAAAAATACTATTAAAGTATGTGAAGCTGCCTCTAATTTAAGTGTAAATTTGACAGACAAAGGCAACTACAACCATGTGTATCACAGATGTCTTCCTCACACTTCAGTTAGCTGTATATATCAGCAGTGATGTCTTGAAGCACTTTTTGGAGTTGCTACCTGGGGAGCAAGCCAGCCTGAAAATGTCTTGAAAATTCACAGCAGAGCATGGCTACTGAGCAAAAGTGATGTGTCAGTCCCCAAAACTAGGGCCAGGACAGCCAAAGCCTCCCCTTTCCATGACTGTAAGTCTGCAGCTGTCTCAAATATCGTAGCCCAACTCCAAAGAAGTTCATGCAGACCAAATGCCAAAATGTATATATTTTCAGTGTATTATTGAACTACGGTTCTGTTTCCATTCTCTCCCCAATACTGAACAATAGAGTGTAAGTCAGCACCCCTTGGATCAGCTTCCCACTAAATCTTTCAGGCACAGACCTGATGGGGAGGCTAGCAGTTGTGTTCAAGGGAGTGTCTGGATTTGACTCTGCAGGTCAGTGCCAGTGCTAGGCAATCTCGACCTCACTCAGTTTTATTGTTGTGGTCACTTAGGTGTGAGATGTCTTCCAAGGCTCTGCACGCTGAACCCCACAGGTGGCAGTGCTAGCCAGAATTCAGTAGCGTTCATACAGTTCATACTCATGCAATATTTACATTCTTACAGATGTTTTGAAGCCTAATTTCTGTTTATTTCAGAGGCTCGGTACTTACAGTCTCACTTTCTTTAAAGATTTCATTACTTTTGCAGTCTGCTTTTAAGAATTTATCAAGTAAGAAGGAATGTATGTAAACAGAAGGATTATTCTACAAAGATTGACAAGGTAGAGTTATTATGAAGACACTTCTTGCCTGTCTTCTGTGTCATACTGCATTCAGGTATTTCTGTTATTCCTGTCATCTGATTTGAGAAGAGGGTGGAGCTTCTCTGTTTGTGACTGAAGTGACTGACAGTATTTTGCTTTCCTGAGTCCCTGTGGGTGGGGACAGAGCACTCCTTTGCTGTGGGAAGAGAGGAGAAGTGGAGCAACAGACAGCAGTGCTGTAAGTATTTTCCCAGTTTTGGCAGAAAGCTGTCATTAACGCCTATTTTCTCTTTGCAGCAGGCGAGGAAACTGATGTTCTTTCCACTGTTAGTCTGGTTTGAAGTGTAAGTACTCCATACCGCACCCACCAGGAAAACACATCAAAGGCTAAACGATAGGCTGATAACTTGTAGTAGGCTTACTTTCATCGATTGTAGCCTGCCTTGTTAGCATTGAGTTGTGGCTTTTGCATTGTAAAACATGCTCTTACTTGCTTCTTTCTGCATAGAACTACAATGTCACATAACTGACTGCATCTGCTTTTGAAGTAAGCACGTTTCTGAGTTTCCACAGAAAGGTTTCTGACAATACCTAAGGCAGTACACGTTCACATGGAGTTATCACTTTAGTTACATCAGTTGTAACTGGAAAGAGTTGGGTATATAAGTGTTCTGGGACCTCAGTTACCTGCACAGTTATTTGAGTTGTTTTACTGTTTTTGTAATGTTTCCCTGTCTCTGAAGATTTTTGAGAAGTACGTGTTTTGCGTACGCCAATGAGAAAAACGTGTCCTGCAGAAAGCTTGTGTAGCTGAGGAGTACAGCTCACAGAAAACGGGTTTGGTGTTCTTTTGGGGGAAAGCAACTTGATACTGTTACTTCTACACTTTGTGCTGGTATACCAGCGTAAACTGGTATTTTATGTTGCTTTCAAAAGGATATCTGCGGGGGTCTTGCTTTGAGTTTGGTACCTGTACACTTGATACGCTGCTAAACACTTCATTGGGGTTTTTTTAGTGTGTTTTTAAAAAAGTAGAGTAGTGAGTCACCAGTGAAAAAAGACTGTATTGTTTAACAAAGAAGACTCAAGACATTTTTGTATGTTATTGAAATTTATTAAATATAATCCACAAGTAACTTTCAGTAGTTTTTTCAATAAATAGTTGCTTCTCAGTTTATTGACAAGTTTTCCAAAGGACATTTTGAGCCCGTAGGGCTTACAGAAAGGATCAAGCACGGTCTTAGAACAGACTGTCTTATCATCCACACTAAGAACAGACAGTGGTCCCAAAATGGACAACAAGCCAGTTGTATGCCCCAGGGCAAAATATATAAATTAGTCATAATTAAATATTCAAATAAATAATGTAGCAGTAAAAATAAAAATGGTTATAAGATTTCTTTTAGCATAGATTGCAGAACGGTGAGCAGTTCTTGGTGAAATGCAGGAAACTTCGTCTTGTCATGAGCTTCACACTTCTTGCATCCAGTTCCTGAGGAAGTATTTGCCTGCAATACAGATATTTCTGTTTGTTGGTGATAACTCTTGCTAGCTGATTTTAACTATAATGCATCAACTTAAGACCGTTGCCTACCTCAAGACACCTGAGATTCTTTTGGATATTTTGAAGATGTATGCGGTTCTGGCCTTCAGTTTCCTTTTCCAGGAGTGTCAGTTCTCTCTGGTAACAGCGTAGAGTTGTCTGGCCACACTCCTAAAACAGTCAGCAAAATTGTTATGTGTGGAACTATTGCCATTTGAAAAATCCCAATTACCCATTGTTTTTTTCCTCATGCCAGGAAGTGAGCTGTTTGTTTTCTACAACGTGTAGTTCCTTTGTTCACCTAAAGTTATGAGATGTTACATGTGGCCTTAGTTCTGTGGTAGATTGTTGTAGCTCTTGAAAAGTGAGTAATCCTTACAGGACACTTGAGGAG